CTTTCTCTGACTTATTTCATTTAGCATAATAACTTTACGTTCATCCATGTTGTCCCAGGTGGCAAGGTTTCACTCTTTTTACAGCTGAATAATATTCTATTCTACCACGTCTTCTTTACCCAATTGCCTATTGATGGACATACGTTGCTTCCATATCTTGGCTATTGTAAATAATGCTACAGTGAACATAGGGATGCCTATGTCTTTTCCAGTTAGTGTTTTGGTTTTCTTCAGGTAAATACCCAAAAGTGGAATTGCTGGGTCCCTTTTTGTCTCTCGTTATAGCCTTTGTTTTGAAGTCTATTTTGTCTGGTATAAGTATTATTACCCCAGCTTTTTTTCTTTTTTTCATTTCTATTTGCATGAAATATCTGTTCCTATCCCTTTATTTTTGGTCCGTGTGTGCCTTTCAATCTATAGTTGGTCTCTTGTAGGCAGCATATGTAGGAGCCTTGTCCTTTCTTATCCACTCAGCCACACTCTGTCTTTTAAATTGGAGCATTTAATCTGTTTACAGTTAAAGTAATTATTGATAGGTATGTAGTTATTGCCATTTTATTATTCAGAGTTTTGGTCTCCTTGTCCTTTTAACATTGCTGTAATACTGGTTTGGTAGCAATGAACTCCTTTAGCCTTTTTTTTGGTCTGGGAAGCTATTTATTTGTTCTTTGATTCTAAATGATAATCTTGCTTGGTAGAGTAATCTTGGTTGTAGGTCCTTGTTTTTCATCATTTTGAGTATTTCATGTCACTCCCTTCTGGCCTGAAAAGTTTCTGCTGAGAAATCAGCTGACAGCCTTACCTACCTCTCTTGTAGGTAACTAATTGCTTTTGTCTTGCTTCTTTTAAGATTCTCTTCAACATTAGGCATTTTACTTATGATGTGTCTTGGTTTGGACCTCTTTGGGTTCATCCTGTCTGGGACCCTCTGCACTTCCTGGATCTGTTTATCTATTTCCTTCACCAGGTTAAGGAAGTTTTCCATCATTATTTCTTTGAGCAGTTTTTCAATTCTTTTCTTTCTCTCTTCTTTTAGTACTCTGACATGAATGTTGGTGTGCTTGATGTTGTCTTGGAGGTCCCTTAAACTATCCTCAATTGTTTTCATTCTTTTTTCTTTTTGTTTTTCTAACTGGGTGTTTTTGCTACTTTGTCTCCCAAATCATTGATTTGATCCTCTGCTTCATCTAATCTACTATTGATTCTGCTACGGTATTCTCCATTTCAGTTATTCTATTCCTCATTCTGACCAATCCTTTTTTATATTTTCTATCCCCATTTTTATGTTTCCTTTCTCTTTATGGACTTCTCACTAAGTTCATGTACTCTCCCCCCAAGTTCATTGAGCATCCTTATAACTAGTGTTTTTAACTCTGCATCTGGTAGATTGCTTGTCTCCATTTTGTTTAGTTCTTTTTCTGGAGTTTTATTCTGTTCTTTCATTTGGGACATGCCTGTCTCCTCATTTTGGCTGCCTCTCTGTGTTTGTTTCTATATATTAGGTCTACGTTGCCAGGTCTTGGAGAGTGGCACTTAGCAAATTTAGATGTTCCTATCGAGAAGCAATTTAAGGCTGAATAGCCTTTTGCAGAACTGATGGTTCTTTCTGCACCCCAAGCAATTTACACATACTTCTCGTTAGGTGTGACCATATTTATTATCCAAACCTGGACTCATTGAGAATGAAAGGGGACACAAATAACCATTAAGCCAGGACAAGAGGTGTTCTTGACAAAACAGGAAGTATTGTCATACTACTGTGAAAGCAATTATTTAGCAACTGTATGTCTCTTCTCATTCAACTGTGAAGCTATTCTAAGTCTGGGCCTTACTTTTCTTAGCTTCCTTTGTGGCCTAGAATTGTGCCTGGCGCATAGTGGTGGTAGAAGAAATGTTAGTGCCACTTTAAAAATATGTAGTTAATTGCGTATTATACTATCTTGCTATAGAACTGAAACTATCCCATTTGTGGCCTATTATGAACCATTTTCTCAGTATTACAAATATAGGGCAATGAGCTTAATTATATGCTTGTGTAATGATAATAACTGGTATTTACCAGCACTTACCATGTGCCAGGCCCAGGACTAAGAACTTTGCTAGAGTTGTCTCATTGATTTCTCCCGACAATTCTTGGAAGTAAGTACTATTATGATCTCATTAAATTAAAAAAAAAAAAAAAGAAAGAAAGGTTTGGAGACATTCAGAACCTTGCTCAGGGTCACCCAGATAATTATCCAGTAGAGTCTGAAGTCCAGACTTGAAGACTCCATACACCATTTCTCCTATATGTGAGAAATAGCTAGTATCAAATTTTAGAAAGTGGTTTTTAAAAATGTTTATAGCATACACTCAGGAAAAAAAATTCATTTGCTTTAACTCTTTTGAAGGAAAATTGATTTAAGTGAAAGATTGGAAAATCAGGCCAGTGTGGCAGCTACATGAGCTCAAGCGTAGTGATAGCAGTTGGTCAGACCAGCGCATTGCTTGCTGCTGTCCTTGATGCTAATGTTTCCATTATTTGTTCTGATACAAATATACCATGCTATTTTTGTTGATATAACTTTCTCGTTTATGGACTAGTGTGTGAAACACTTCCTTTTGTACTGTAACAGTTGCCATTTTCTGTTAGCAGTATTTTCAATGTATATTTTGTGAACATTGTCTATTTTTCTACCCTGTCCTTTTGGAATAAGATTTTATTTGGTAACAATTTTTAGGACAGTACAGACATATAATATTGACTCTGAAAAATTGTTTGATATTATTGTTATTACAAATGATATTTTGACATTGATGAAACACACTGTCAATGGTTTTTAAAAGTTGTTTATTTAATTTTATTTAAAAAATCCCAATTGTAAGGGATAATCTGTAGCCTTACATTGTTTTAAATCATAAAGGAGAACTTAAATATGTAAAGAGACTATGCTATAAATATAATATGGAGCAAATAATTATAAACACAGACTTTCATACAAAATATATCCTACCATTGAATGAAATCATCTTCTTAATTGACTTTTATTCCTACTAATAGGAAGGGTGTATGAATAGCAACCGAAATTAGATATTATCAAGGTATTCAATCACATATGATGTTATAAACAAAATATGAAAAATCTGAAAATAAATGTTTACATAATGACTATTATCCTTTATGATAAAATGATAGGAAATGCTACTATTTAAGGCATCACACAAGATGACTACATTTATAATTCAAAGGAAGGATTACAAACACATATATCAAGTTCAGAATTTTGCTTTGTTTGTCTTAGGTAACTTTTATAATTAATATGACTTTGAGTTTCACATCAGAAGGTTTCCTCTAGTTTATCACATTATTCTCACTTAGTGAGGTAGAATACCAGAATATCATTGATTAGAAAAATTGCATTAAATGTTAAGATATTACTGTACTCGGGATAAGTAGAAATAACTACAAAATGCTTATGCTATGATGTAGATGAGGCTCTTATGGTAAACTGATAGAAACTGAAACCAAGAGGAAATTTAAAATTAAAAAAAGGTCTTTTTTTATTGAACTTTTCATTATCTCGAGGGACTTAAAATTTTTTCATTTACTCTAGGCACTTGGGATACATCAGTTAAAACACACACAAAAATCCATCTAAGATTGAAGGTAGACACTAAAAGATAAACATACAAAATAAATAAAGATTGTTACAAGGTTTTAAGAGTCATGGGAAGAAAAGAAAAAGCAAGAATTGAGAGTTGGCTTTTGGACAATTGGGTTTTAGAGAGCATAGTCGGGCCAAGTAAGCATCGCTGTTAAAGTGAGGTGTGTACCAGAAGTAAAAGAGATGAAGGTGGGCATTGCGAAGAATGTTCCGGGCAGAGAGAACGGCTTTGTAGGTCACTGTAAAGACCTTAGCTTTTACAAAGAATGAAATGGGGAGCTATTGGAGGATTTTGACCAGATGAGACAGGATCTGACTTTTCTTGTAAGAGGATAGTCTTTTTTTTTTTTTTTTTTGACAGTAGACTGAGTTAATGGTGGGGCAGACAGAGCATTTATAGGCTTTTGAAGGCCGGAGAAGGTGGAAGTAATGCAGATGAGAAGTGGTGTGATTCTGATTTATTTTGAAGGTGCAACCAACAGCAGGTTTGCTTGAGAGATTGAAGGCGAAGGTGAGAGAATGGAAGAAGCCAGGATGACTGCAAAGTTTTTGGCCTGAACAACCAAGGACTGTGGCACGGTCTTGAGTTGCAGTCATACGAGCTGCTAAGATGGGGAAGATGTATGTTACTATATTCTAAGTATTATAGGCATTTTAGTAAAATGTTGGCTGCTAGATAGGGGCACTCAAGTGTGTTTCAGATTTCTGGGATATATAAAATGTACAGCTAAAGGAGTCTCAGAGATACAGACAACTAATTTCGCACATTTCAAGTGCCAGGTGGATGTTCTCGGCTGTAAGCCAGTTAATGAAGGATTCAACGACTCTGATGTTTACATTAAAAAAAAAAAAGCAGTGGTCCGATGATATCAGGGCACCTCTTTCTCAACTGCCACCACTGACTAGTCGGAAGGCTCAGCACCACCCTCGCTCGCCCGGGGAGAGTCCGCGGCTCCACTTCGTGTGCGGGCACTGCCCCTCCGCGCGGTTCGGGGAGGGGGCGCGAGGCGCCGCGGTCCGCCCGTGGGTGGGACGGGCTCCCGCCCGCTCCCACCAGCCCTGGTCGCCATCTTCTGGCGCGCTCTTCCCCGCGCGCACTCCTGCCCGGCTCTCGGCCCTCCGCTCGCCTCGGAAGGGAATCTCTAGTCCGCGCAGCTCGAGGGTACAGCGTGTCGCCGGGTCCGGGCAGAGTCCACGCCCCGGGTTGGCAGGGGGCGGGGCCGGGCCCGGGGCGGGGCCAGCTGGCGGCGCGGCCCTCCCGCGGCTCCCGGAGCGCGCCCCGCCTCTCGCCCCGCCTCTCGCCCCGCCTGCGCGCGAGCCTGGGCGGGGAGGGAGGGGCCAGGAAGCGGCGAGTGCGCCGGGGAGCGCAGCTGCGGGCGTGGGGGTGGTAGGAGCCGCGGAGCCGGCGCTGAGAGCGGCTGCGGCCGGAGCGGGCGGCCGAGACAAAGACGACGGGTAAGTGAAGCGCCGGCCCCGGCTGCGCACCGGCCCCCAGTCCTAGCGGTCGCGGCCCTTTGGGCTTGGGTCCGAAGCCCCGAATCCCTGCCGCTGAGGGCTCCGGGGGTAGCGCGGCCCGGCCCTGCCCGCCGCGCGCTGCGGGCTGTGTGGGCTGAGCCTCCGGCTCCATTTTCAGGTCTGGGTGAGGTCCTCACACGGACCCTGCCTTGGGGTTTTCTTCTGTTCGTTCTGAGAAACGGTTCCATGCTCCGTTCCAAATTCACGGCAGGCGGGCGAGTGAGGAAGCTAGCCGCCAGTCGCTGTGAAATGGCAGTGAAGACCCCCTCCCCCCAACTTTGCAGGTCTGGAAGTCGGGAGGGCGGTGCAGGGGGAGGGCGGAGAGGGCCCGAGCCCTCCAGGTGAGGGCTGGCGCGGGCGGGGACCCCCGCCGCGGATCCGGGACGCTCGCCCGCAGCGTCCGGCGTGATCCGCCCGCGGCTCTTGCCGCGGTTCTCCTTCGCCCTGGAGAGAAAGCCCCGACCACCTCCCCGGAGGGGCTGGTGCTACTCTTACAGGTTGTTTTACCCAGCGCTTGCTGCTTCAGTGACGATTTTTGGTAACGGGTGTGGTAGGTGAGCGGCTCTCTGATGCTGCATTAACAGTGAAAAGAAGCCCCAATGGGCTGACTTCTTGTATTGAAGGAACAACGCTGGGATTCCTCTTGAGCTGCAGTTATTTTAAAGGCTAAGCTTTTGTAGGGGAATTAGGTGCTGATTGTCAGTTCACAGAATTTACGCGTTTTGTTACAGGGCCTGGCATGTAGTAGGTGCCAGGTAAAATATGAGAATGAAGGATGGATATTGAAACATCAGAGCAGATAGCACATCCCGTAAAATTGAGACACATACCCTCTTGACTCTAAGGAAAGAGATATCGCAAACAACATGTAGTTTGTTTATATGCTTGTTATTTTGGGTGTGTTTACTCAAAATTTGTGTTGATGAGTAATCAGTTATTACCAATGTTACGGGTGTAGAAAATGAATAAATGTGGAATTTTTCATCTTGATGGTAGACCTGTTATGTTTCCTGAAAACGAGCCTTCTAATTTTCTTCAAAAAGAATGGAGAAGATCAAAGGTGCTTGGGTTTGTTTTTTTTTTTTCGTCTTTTGAGGACCAGCTTTCAATTTCACTATGAATAAAGAAGTTCATGTGCTTTTAAAGGACTGTGGTATGATCTCGATTTGCTTTTCGATAAAGGGAGAACTTTATAAACTTCGGGGGAAAAGAAAACTAATCTTGCACCAATATAATTAAACCTCACCATTTACTCAACAGATATTCATTAAGCACCTATTATGCACTGACACCTGTGCTGGATGCTGAGTTTGTACGGGCAAACAAAACTCACAATTATTCTTTTAAACTGGAGTGGGAAGGTCTTTCCTCATTATTGGTATTGCAGGTGGGGACTGTCTTGTCCCCCTGGTGCCTGCTTAAAGTTGGGAAAGGTGGCAGGTGAAGCTGCAGGAAGTGGAGATGCGTAACAGTCTGTTGAAAGGTAACCTCATAGGGCTAAGATCATTGGGTTAGATTTTCATATTGTCAGTTGAATAAAATCTCTGTACAATTTAAAATGAGGAGGGGAAGAGTCTTAACTATTATTTTTATTCTCTCCCTCTCCCATATTAGATGATTTTGGTATGGTGTATTTATTGAAAGAGTTATGCACTTCTGGTTCTGTTTTCTGTAAATAATCTTTGCTATGGAACATTTTCTATTTTTAAAAATCTCCAAGGAGAAACAGTGGATTCTTTTTCTATAAGAAATGCTTTTAAATAAAGCACCTTTTTAGAAATTTTATTTTGACTTTTTATTCACCATGTGCAAATAATATAGTATGGACTTGATAGTGTCAGAAAGGGAAGGACTGAGTAATAATTTGTGGTTCTCCATTTGGATTTTTTCTCTAGGGTTAACAAGTGTGATAAAAAGAGGATGGGATTTGTAGTGTATTAATTCTGAACATAGATGATTACAAAACTATTTGGACTCTTTATAAAGTCCAAATTAATGTGCTCCAAAGTCAATCCTGATCATGACAAAATAGTGTAGATTATAATTTTTTTACAGATAAGTTTGGTATTTAGAGGGGACCCTTTTGACCTACCAATATTCATAAGGTAATGTGTACATTCAAGTAGAACTTTCAGATCTTTAGACTTACTGGCTGTTAGCTTTTTATGGTTGTTCCTGGGAATAGTAATAAAGGAAGTCATCTGTCCAATTTTAGTGGTAGAGAGTTGTGATAGTTTTTTCTTTAAGCGTATACTTTTTATAGAAAGAGTTATTTGACAGTATACTCCTGATAGTCTGTTGCTCATGAGAAATCTTAACAGTAGTGATGATGAAGAATGTAGCAAGCTGTGATATGTTGAATAAAAAATGCTTGGCATATTTTATTTGGATAAGAACTGCATCAGGCATCTCGACAGTCAACAGCATTGGCACATGTTAAAATATTTTTCCAAGAAATTAGAACCCTTTATGACTAATTTTTTTGTACCTTAAAAGAATACTAAAAATATTTTCAGAGTATTCCTGCCTTGGAGTAGTTCATAATATTTTGAGGCTAAATAAATTCCAGGATCTTCCCACATCATAATTGCTTGAATATTTGAAATATCGGTTCTTTCTTCAGCAGGGGGTGTGTGTGTATTTGGAGAGAGGGATTCTTTTTTTGTAAGACCCTTTAATATGACTTGGAAAGTGTTTCTTTTATCAGGTGTAATTAATAAAGTGATTAAGAATGATGCTGATGTGGCACAGTGCAGCTGTGCCCGTATTTGCCTGTATAGATTGTGAGAATATCAGTTAGCATTTGTGTAAACATTTTCAACGTACTTTATAACTAATTTCTCATTTATTCTCTAGGATAGGTTGCTATTGAGTTTTTAGATCCTGGTTGCCTTTTTATTTTTTTAATTTAATCATGAAAATTTAGGTTTCTCATCTGCTTTAGGATGAGTCTGAGATATTTTGGTAAGGCTTCATAAGATTTTTTCACAATTGCAAATGCATATTGATTTTGATCTGTTAAAGTGTTCTTAATCTCAGTTCTCATGAAAGAAATATTTTCACATTTTGTTGAACGTTAAATGTCAGTAATGTTTTAGATCTGTCTCAGGGAGACATTCTGCATTCTTGAGCGGAAATGAGTGAAACATAAGTTTATCCTTAATACTTACTAATGAGATGAGGGCATTTATTGTTTTTTTTCCCCCCATGCTACCTGGAAAAACTTGGAATTTAGCTTATTAATAATTAACTTTATGTATCCTGCTTTCTCATTTCAAAGCTTAAGTCTACTTCAACCTTTCTGCAATACTAGCAAATAATGAACAGCAGGATTTAGCTGAAACTGCCCTGGGGCCCGTCCAAAAGGAAATTCTGAAGTGGAACCCAAAGACTTGCAAATAAGGATTGTCTTCATTGTCTTCATCCTGACGGTGTAACACACTTCCAAGTGTACCTTAGTCAAAATGGGTTATGGTCAAACAAACCTCCTCTCTTTCCAAGAAAGCATTAGAAAACTCCAGGTTAAATTTAGGCATCTTTGAAAACAACTGAAGGATGAGCACTGATTATTTCCACTTTGTAGCTTACCCATGTAGAAATTCATGCTAAGGTTTCTTATTAAATCTTATGATTAAATTTTAGTGAGCACTTCCTGGTAAAACAAAATCATTCTACTGCATTTGATTTAATCTAATTTCACATTTTGTTTAATAAAGCAAAAATAATTTTTTTCATGTATTCAGCATTGTATTATATATATATTTTGCATCTGATACATAGTGGGAACCCGTGGATGTTTTTTTGTAGAACTGGTATGTTCAGTGGATGGGATTTGATAGAAGTTTAAGCAGAAATGACTGACTGTGACTGCACCCTGGAACCCTCCCTGAAGATTAAGCCTTTCCCTGCCGCTCTACCTCTTACGAAGATTAGATAGCTCTTCTAGTTACTTTTAGGTAGTAAAAAGTGTTCTGTTCACTTGACAGTATTAGTCTTATTTTAGGCATTAGAAGATACAGTTTAGTATAATAGCCAGTGTTGAAACTCTTGCACAGTTAAGAACTTTCCTTCCCTAGCTCAGAACTGATTCAGACCTAGAAACCTGCGTTGGAGGAAGAGTCTCTTTTTACAGTAGTTTGGCATCCTCACCTGTCCGGGGTCCAGCTCAGTGGGGAAAGGAGGTTGAGGGGAATGTATGGTTTGAATGTGGCTTGTGCTGTTGTGACCTGGCGTTGGTGCCTCAGTTGGTCAGCTTGTTCAGAGCTGTGTTTCTCCAGGAGCGCTGGAAATGGTTTTCTCAGGGACTCCATGTCTGGGGACCTCCAGCTGCGGTTCCTGTGACGTCATTCTTCTGCTCTGATTCCTGAGCCTTCCAGTTTCCCTCCTCTGCAGGCTCTCTTTGCCCAGGGAGTGGTTTTACTTTAGTCTTTAACGGAGTTCCATAGCGTTTAACCAGACCTGCCTGTACTTAATTAAGGTTATTTCATACGACGCAGTTTCAAGCATTTCACCGGGGCCTCATCCAATTTTCCAGCTCATTCTGTCAAGTGCCCCCACTTGAATAGTACTTTCGTGTCTGGGACCTGCGCTCCATTGCTGCCAGCATCTTTTTTTTTGTTTTTTTAAAGATATTATTTATTTTAGAGGGGAAAGGAGGGAGAAAAGGAGGGAGAAAAAGAGGGAGAGAAACATCAATAGGTTGCCTCTCGCATGCCCCGAACTGGAGACCTGGCCTGAAACCCAGGCATGTGCCCTGAGTGGGAATTGGACCCGCAACCTTCCGGTTCGCAGGCTGGCGCTCAGTCCGCTCAGCCACACCAGGCAGGGCACGACCACCTTTTTATTGTCCCGTGGTCCACTGTTAGGATTTCTCCCATTTTCACACCTCAGTTCCCTGGTAGCTCTCCTGGTACTCGCCTGGCAGCCTCCAGTTTACCATC